CCAAATTCAAATTTTCCAGTTTCACTTGTTTGTATAATTGGGTGTTTTTATTAGCATGTCTATTAATCATAATAAAACATATAAATAAAAATCCTTTAAAATGACAGTAGAAAAGACACAAATGCGATCTAGCACTTAAATTTACTAACTTTTGACACCAGAGCAGGTGTGACATATTCTGGATATGGGAGCCTGGAGGATGATGGGGAAAAAAAAAAATCATGATGATCTGATGCCTGAGCGTGGTGAACAGGTGAGCAGACCTTCATCACATGGGAAGTCCCGTTGTCACGCCAAGAAGGGGATGGCTGCAGACCCGCAGATTCACGTCTGCTGCAGCAAATCTGGTGTGATCTCCAGCACGATCACAATTTTCTCATTCCTTTGCTGCCTCTAATGCACTTAAACATCTGCCCATTTTACTCCCTGTCAGCTGATGAACACTTCAACACACCTCGCTGCATGGTGGCGCAGTGGTTAGCACTGTTGCCTCGCAGCACGAAGGTTGCAGGTTCGAAACTCGACTGCGGCCTTTCTGCGTGGAGTTGCGTATTCTCCCCATGCATGCGTGGGTTTCCTCCGGGTACTCCGGTTTCCCCCACAGATCATAACATGCCCTATAGGTTATAAATTGTAAGTCGCTTTGGATAAAAGCGTCTGCTAAATGAATAAACATAAACATAAACATAGTAACACATACGATGTTTAGACAGTCACTCATCTCAGAAACATAATAAACTGATAGAATTTTTTAGAAAATGATGTTACAACAGTTTCCTTCCGTTTTAGCAGCCATTAAAAGAGCACTGTGCATCAGTGATATTTGGTCATTTTTGCTTGAAATCCAAGTTGTGATTAAATGTGTGAACCTTTTTAACGCATCATTTTTTTTCTAATTAATCATAATTAACCCATTAAAGTCCCACCCCTATTTAAGACACTTGAGAATATTTAAGAAATCTGTACACTTATTTTCTACAGTAGGGCACAGTAAGTAGCACCAAGCTGCAAATGAACAATACTATAGCAGAAAAACTAAGAATATAGTTTAGACTTAAACTCATTGAGATAAAAGCACATTGTTAACTGTGAGAGTCACACTCATCTCTCCTGTGCTTCTTCCATATGCCTTACCCTGGAACTAAAATAGTTAATTTAGTTTCAGTTCATATTTATTGGGCTTTTCATCTAAAGTGCCTGCAGCTAATAGGAAACACCTTCAAGAACAAGTGAAGATTAGTCAGAGCAGCACGTTGGCAGGCTACCTCAGTTTTCTGTATCCTTCTTCAAATGTACATCATTGACTTAGACCAGAGCAGCTGGAAGGTGTTGGTACACTAAAGGACAAATCTCTTTAATCAGGCTGAACCTGAAAAAGGCAAGCAACTATGTTCTTTTTAGTTAAATACTTTTACTGAGAGGGGGAAATTCATTCTCTTTCCCCTTTGGCATTGTGCTAACACGCACCTGTATGCTCCAGAACAGCAAACAGCCATGTCTTGAATATGAAGTTGAAATAGCTTTGAGGAGATTCTGGTCCACCATCCGGCACCTCACGAGGGGAAAGCAGTGCGCTACCCACACCTTTTACAGCAGTGGTGTGCTGCTGACCTCGACTGGGGACGATGTGGCTCGGTGGGCGGAATACTTCAAAAACCTCATCAATCCCACCGAGGAAGTCCAGTGAGGAAGCAGTCTGGGGACATTGGGTATGTACACATAGACAGTTATCTAGTATTGTAACCTTTGACCACTAAAAACCACGAATATAAAAGAAAAAACTTGGGTTCTAACACTATGCAGCATACTGCAAGAGACAAGGACATACTATGTAAATCTGGTACAGAATGAGTATTGAACACATACTGAATATTGCATTGTGTTATTGTGTAACAGGATAATGCCAGTGCAGCTTAAACTGAGGAGTTATACACTCTTGCCGCAGAGACTATGTTTCTCAGCTGGCAAAACAAAGATCAAGCTGATTGTAGTGAATGTTGGCCAGCTGCATATTAATCTAACCTCTAATTATAATTGATTTAAGACAGCATCTACTTTGGTCCTGGCTATATTCTGAAAAGCTCTAAGCTTATCAGTCTGATAGGATGTAACACTCATTTCTCCAAATAGAGGCTGTTTGAAAACCCATCTAAAATGGGCAAGCTAGTAATGGTTAAAGTTTTTACACAAACATGCTTGGAAGTGACTGAAAATCCCTTATATGACTTGTTTTTTTTAAATGAACCCATTTGTTCCACTTACAGAAAATATATTTAAATGTATGTAAACTTTCAGCAACATAATAAACGTCTCATCTTCTTTCACCTATCCTGGTCCGGGGGCAACATCCCAACTAGGGAGTTCCAGACCGTCCTCTCCCCAGCCACCTCCACCAGCTCCTCCGGTAGGACCCCAAGGCGTTCCTGGGCCATTTCGGATATACTTTCTCCAACATGTCCGGGGTCGACCAGGGGGTGTCCTGCCAGCAGGATGTACCTGAAACACCGCCCTGGGGAGGCATCTAGGAGGCATCCTAACAAGATGCCCAAACCATCTCAACTGACTCTCGATATGAAGGAGCAGCGGTTCTACTCAGAGTCCCTCCCAAATGAGCAAGCTCCTCACCCTATCCCTAAGGGTGAGTCCAGCCAACCTGTGGAGAAAAATAATTTTGGCCGCCTGTATCCACGATCTTGTTCTTTCGGTCATTACCCAAAGCTCATGACCATAGGTGAGGCCTGGGCGGTAGATCGACTGGTAAATCGACAGCCTTGCTTTCCGGCTCACCTCCTCCGTCACCACAACAGATGGGTTCAGCGTCCGCATCACTGCAGATGATGTCCCAACCTGCCTGTCGATCTCCCGCTGCCTCCTTCCCTCACTCAAGACCCAGAGAACCTTGAACTCCTCCACTGGAGGCAGGACCTCTCTCCCGACCCAGAGCTGGCAAGCCACCTTTTTTCAGGTCGAGAACCATGGTCTCAGACTTGGAGATGCTGATCCTCATCCCAGCGGCTTCACACTTGGCTGCAAATCCCCAGCAAGAGCTGTAGGCCAGAGCCTGCATAAAGCAGAGATGAGATTCTTCTGCCACCAAACTCCACACCCTCAACACCACGGCTGCGCCTAGAAATCCTGTACTCAAACATTATGAACAGGACAGGTGACAAAGGGCAGCCCTGGCGGAGTCCAACCCTTACTGGGAACAGGTCAGACTTACTGCCGGCTATGTGGACCAAACGTACTCCTCTGGTACAGGGACTGAATGGCTCTTAGCAAAAGACCATCTACCCCATACTCCTGGAGTGCCCCCCACAGGGTGCCTCTGGAGACACGATCATAAGCCTTCTCCAAATCCACAAAACACATGCGGATTGGTTGGGTAAACTCCCATATGATCCATCACCCTAGCAAGAGTAAAGCATCGGTCCACAGTTCCACAGCCAGGACGAAAACCACATTGCTCCTCCTCTATTGAGATTCAACTATTGACTGTACCCTCCTCTCCAGTACCCTGGAGTAGACCTTTCCCGGGAGGATGAGGAGTGTGATCCCCCTATAGTTGGAACACACCCTCTGGTCCCCCTTTTTTAAAAATTGGAACCACCACCTCAGTCTGCCACTCCACAGGAACTGTCCCTGATGACCATGAAATGTTCTAGAGACGTGTCAACCAAGACAGTCATACAAAATCCAAAGCCTTGAGATACCCAGGTTGGATCTCATCCACCCCAGGGGCTCTGCTGTTGCGTAGTTGTTTGACTACTTCAGCGACTTTTGCTCCAGAGATTGGACAGTCCATCCCCAGGTCTCTTAGCTCTGGTTCCTCCTCGAAATGCGTGTCGGTGGGATTGAAGAGCTCCTCAAATTATTCTTTGCACCGCCCGACTATAGCCCCAGTTGGCATCAACAGCTCCCCATCCCCACTGTAAACAGTGTGAGCAAGTTCCTGCCTTCCTCCCCTTAAAGTGCCAGATGGTTTGTCAGAACCTTCTCGGAGCCGATCGATAGTCTTTCTACATGGTCTCGCCAAACTCCTCCCACACCCGAGATTTTGCCTCAGAAAATTCCACTGCTGCACCACGCTTGGCCCTCCGGTACCCGTCTGCTGCCTCTGGAGACCCACAGATCAGCCACGCCCTGTAGGCCTCCTTTTTCAGATTGACAGCTCCCCTAACCTCTGGTGTACACCAGCGGGTACGGGGGTTCCTGCCATGACTGGAACCGGCCACTATGCGACCACAGCTAGCAATAGCCGCCTCAACAATTGCAGAGCGGAACAAGGCCCATTCGGACCCAATCTCCCCTACTGCTCTCAAGACGTGGTCAAAGCTCTGCCGGAGGTTCATCTTCCAGGCATTCCCAGCAGACCTTCACAATACATTTTGATCTACCAGGTCTGCGCAGCGTCTTCCCCTGCCATCTGATCTAGCTCACCACCAGCTGGTGACCAGTTGACAGCTCCGCTCCTCTCTTTGCTCGAGTGTCCAAAACATATGGTCTCAGGTCAGATGATACAACTACAAAGTCAATCATTGACCTGTAACCTAGGCTGCATACCGGTATCCTTATGTTTGAACATGGTGTTTGTTATGGCCAAACTGCGACTTGCGCAGAAGTTCAATAACAGAAAACCACTCGAGTCCAGACTGGGCGGGCCGTTCCTCCCAATTACGCCACTAAAGGTCATGCTATCGTTGTTAACGTGACCACTGAAGTCCCCCAGCAGGACTATGGAGTCACCAGTTGGAGCACCACCTAGTATCCGTCCCACTCCAAAAAGGGTGGGTCCTCTGAACTGCTATTTGGTGCATAAGCACAGTCAGGACGTGTTTCCCAACCTGAAGGCACAGGGAAGCTACCCTTTCGTCCCCCGGAGAAAACCCCCAACATACATGCAGAGAGTCTTGGGGCATAAATCTTGGGGAATAAACATGGTAATAGAAAACGCATAGTGAGAACTCAAACAGGAAGGGAAAAAACTTCACAGAACAAAAATGCTTTCTGTTATATATTTTGTTTTTTCTTTTAATTTTCCGCAATGTCTTCTAACTTTAAAATACATCGGTGGTTATTGATATGCATCTTTTCTTTAATGGTACAATGGGATCCTGATTCCTGTAACAACAGTATTAAAGAATTACTTTACAAACACAAAGGAAAAACACATTAGCTGGCATACATTAGCCATACAATGCATCATAGTGACCACTTTATGCAACAACAACAAAAAAGCAAGACAATGCCCAAACAGTTTGTAAAGATGCACAACTAAAAGGGATTGAAATCAGGTTCATGAAAAATAAATCAAGTCCAATGCTCCATTGCACAGTAATCTGTTAAATATCAAAACAAATAAACAAACAAAAAAAAGCTCTTTACAAATAACAATTTACTATAGATATTATAGTATCAGGTAACAAGGCCTAAAATAGCCAAAACATATTTGCAATTCAGTCATAAAAACGTGACGTCAGCACATGAAACCTCAGGAAGTGTGAATGACAAAGACACGGATTTGTTCGAACAAGACGCTGTACAGCTTAAAAACGTATTCTGATCCTCATCTCCCCTGCACAAGAGTTCATAGAGACAAGGCAATAAAAAAAAGAGCCTGAAATCAAGTCAGAAAATCAGGGGACTGTTAAAAAATGTACAAAACAAACAGCCAGAGAAAAATCCTGTCCCTGGTCTCATTCTGAGTGTGGAGCTCTGAAACAGCATCCATCCACCCCAACAGGTTCAAAAGTGTCAAAATACCCTCCCAAAAAATACTTACAGTAAAGAACAAACCAGATTTTCAGAGATTTTTTTGTTTTGTTGTATTTATTAAAGAGTAACTACACAAAAAAGTAACTTCCAGTTTCTTAATAAAATGCATCAAACTTGTTAAGAAACTTTTCATGCTAAACAATTTGTTCGTGCCTCCGTCAGGTCCGCCGTCTTCTCCCTCGGGTCATGGGTCTGCAGCATGAGTTTACGTCTCCCAATGAGAATACAGACTTTAGCTTCTGTTGGACGGATGATCCAGGTGCAGGTACAGGAGGGGGTAAAAACAAATCATTGGTGGATTTCACTAGAGAGAGAATTAGGATGGTAGTTTGGTTTTAGAAATGGGAGTTTAAATAGAGATTTTGTAGCCCAGGTGAGCAGAATGAGGTCACTTGACACAGCAAAGGCCGAGCCAGGTGAACCAAATGCTTTAGTACCCAAAGGAAAAACAAAAAGGTCACAAATCCAACGGGCAGCCTCTTCTGATCATATGTTACACTCCACCTGATTTGGCAGAGCCATCAACATTGCTGCATTAGCTAAAGAAAAACAAAAAACAGGATGGAGCTCAGCAGCCTGGTGCAGAAGCTGGTGGATGATTTCTGACTCACGTAAAGGCAACTTGCTCTTGCAACACGAGAGCCGTAGAGGTGACTGGTAGCAGCGTAACAAAATCTTCTACAAGCAGCCATGTCTTTAAGCCATGTCATATACCTGGAGAAAAACAAAAGCTTCCAGCTGGGACCTGAGACATGTTGGGACGTTGTGACCTCTCAGATGGTGCAAAAAAAGGTAACCAACAAGTTGAAAGGTTACGGGTCAGACACAGGTCCCCTGGTGAGCTGGAGGAAGGGCTTTTCGGTTCTTTAAAGCTTGAGACTTGTCCTTAAAGTCGGATGGTTTCTGCTGTGAAATGTCTATCAGTGCACTGGCAACAATGAGTCCTACGGAAGGAAAAATACATAAGAGAAGAGTGAGGAAACATCAAGAAGCTATTCTTTTTCTACAGGTAGTAAACTCTCACACAACTGGATGTGATTGTGATGGTGCATTGGCTGTAAATGAGTATGGGTCAATACAGTTGTCACGTGATTGGTAGGAACAGGGTCGGGTGACATTCTGATGGAACGATAACTTCGAGTAATAATACCAGCATATCTCATGGGTACCTGTTAGGTAATTAAAAACAAAACGGCCTCTCCTTCTCTAGCTTATAATACAGTTTAATGGCTGCTTAATAAGTTTTTAGTTCAGACCTCAGTAAAACTGATGATAATCTTGTATGTTGGAAGAAAACCTTGACTCAGCCAGTAACAGATTTTTTTTACCTGACTGTCCAGGTGGAGGTAAGCCTGAGGGTCCAGAAGGTAGACGCATGAGGACCGTCAACACGGCAGCTTTCCCTCCAGAACAAGGCTCCATGGCAACAGGCTTAGGCACACCCTTATGAAAAAAAGATCCTATTAGTGCAGATTCAAGGCTTTAAATTAGATTTCAAACAAAAAAACTTTTCAGCTTCAACAAAATCTAAAACTGCAATAATACATGAACAGACTGTTTATTTATTTTTTATTTTTTTGCTCCATTGGATGGTACGCTCCAGCTTTACCAGCTCAACATTTTACAGAACTAATAAATGCTTTTTCTTGTGGGGGACCATCAGCTGACAGCTGCTGCGTTTGCGTCAAGACGCCCTCCTCCCGAGACAAATGATTTGATTGGTCACACAACAAAAACACTCGTGTCCCTGTCAGACAGTCCAAGTGTAGAGGCAATGACCTACCCTCAGATGTAATGGCCAAAACTGCTTGTCTCAAGCGTGAAAAACATGTCATCCTGATAATGAATGTCAAGGGTTTCACAGCATGAAAGGACAGAAATGGTGGAATAACAACATGTCTGAATAGAGTAGACCCTTTTTCCCTGAGTGGCTGGATGTAAAATAACAGAGACATCAGAGACAAAATGAGAGAGAAAATGGGCCTCGGCAATTACATGAGTAAATGAGGAGTGGGATGCAGTGATTTCTTAGTATATTTCACTTAAAAACAAAATACTTGATGCTAAATTGTACATCTGAATAATAACTTACATTAACACCTTAATATAGTCCTTACAAAGGAAAATATAAAGCTCTATTTAAGCAGCTGAAAGACAAAGTGGTGTTCCACCTACTCAAGACCTAAAGTAAATTCTGTCTCGTTTCCTATGAAAGGTGTAGTGTAATTTTCTATCCACCTGCCAATTAAGTTTACTGTTTGAAATACCAAGTTTCTTAATGACTGCATGTTTCTAAGTTACTAAAATCTTTTACTGAACAAGAACCCCTAAAGCTTCGTAGACAATAACTGGACTTTATGGGAACAACAACGTCTGCAGACAGACTTGAATCAAAGGTATGTGGCTGCGATTCAGAGAAAAACGTGATCAAATCACGTTTACTAAGGTTGCCTGGTTATTTCCCAGGAGTGAGCACACCATCTTTACCATGCATTCTGATGTATCTGCTGCCTTTATTTGTTCTCTTTAAAAACCCTTAAGATAAAACACTATGGTGTGTAATCCTGTGGTGTGATGTCATGTGAGGACATGTTCTATAATTCAGGTGAACCATGATTGATGATGATAGATCAAATGAGTTGTTGATTCCTTCTGAAGACCAACAAGCTTTTATATAATTCAGCGAGAACATCCCAGAGCTAGTAGCCTACTGGGATTGGGACTTTGGTGACCTGTTGGAGACAGAAAACTGTGAGAAAATAACCACATTTTAAATTGGGAGCACATAAGACTTATGACAACTTTGTGTGGGGAGTTGAGCTCCAGTCGATGGAGGGCAAGACTACATTTTTGGTCCACATCAAAGGCCCACCTTGGTACGATTCTCTCATTTTCCCCAATGTCTTCTGAAAAAAGTTATTTGTGTGTGCGTGTTTGTACTCGTCTTTATATGTTTAAGTGGACAAATTTTGACTTTAACCTGCAACGTGTGGACATTTCGCTGGTCCACCCTAAACTTTGGTTTTAGAGGTATGCTGTGAAATAACCTTTAGGAACAGAACCCCACTGGTTAAGGTATGGGTTAGACATTGTGGAGTGACTAAAATGAATGGAAGTCAATGGAGGTCCACACAAGCATATAAATACAAGTGTGTGCCTGTGTGTGTGTGTGTGTGTGTGTGTGTGTGTGTGTGTGTGTGAGAGAGGGAGAGAGAGAGAGAGAGAGAGAGAGAGAGAGAGGGAGAGAGAGAGAGAGAGTTTAGATTAACAAATGTTTTATAAAAGAAGAGGTTTTAAAATTTTCATCAATTGTTGGACTGTTTTTGAATTTAAAGGGTCCACTTTACTAATACTTTTATTTCATTTACTGTGTTTTTTGTCGGAATGAATGCCTTGTAAGTTGTACTTTGGGAAAAAAAAGCTCTAGTGCACCTGTTTCAGGATTTATTTCCGATATTTAGACATCTCACCTCTAATTGGTTAACTGCAACACAACTCTACAGCTAACTCTGTTTGCTCTGCAACATTGACGTTTAATCCTGCAAATAACACAAGCTTGAAGGAGTTCTGCTGTTTGATGGAGTTGCTAATGCTAATGGTTAGCTTCTACTAGCCAAGACATTCTCTGCTGTCTCCTGGACGCTAAACCAACAACAGCCTTCCCTGTTGTGAGCCAAAATGGGTGAGTCCATGAATGTTAATGAAAGTGTGACGTAGATCTGTCAGGATTTTCAAATCCTAGATTTTCACCATCTATTTTCTATCAGAAGCTACTGCAGCAGTAAAGGAGACTATTTTCATGTTCAGCCTGCATGAAAAACTCAGAGTGACCGATTATAATCATTAAAACATTTTTTCAGTGAAGTCAGTGAAGTTGACAATTGAAGGTGTCGTTCAGTGAAAAACTTGATATATATGTTTTTAAAACACGATCAATCACTCCGAGTTTAACATGTAGTCTGAACATGAAAACAGTCTTCTACTTCTAGTTTTGTGGAGATAATACATGAATGTTGTGTTTTGTTCCCAAAACTGAGGAGTGGACAGAGGCAGAGAAAGAGTTGCATTCTTGTTAGCCAATCAGAATATAAATGTTTAAATATCATAGATATTAACAAGTAAAACCCCAAATCCTGTTGTTTCTGTCCCCCACACCTCTGGGTAACTACTACTTCCTGAAACAGGAGTGCCAGAGCTTTTTTTTTTAAACAAACAATAACTTACAAGACATTCATTTATAGTAGAAACCACAAACTTTAATCCACATTATCCTAATCCAAAAATATTTCTTTTGTTTTGCAAAGCTGTAGAACTATTTTACATGGGGCACAGGTGACCTCCAGTCCAGGAAGCTCCAAACCCCTCAACTAATCAAAGCCTAAAACCTCAAAACAAAAGAAATCTTCTGAGTGAACAACTTCAGCATTCCAGCACAACAATAAAAATCTAAGCGCACTTTCATAATCTAATTAAAACTCATGGTCAGAGCCCATTTTCCTCATGCAAATTCATGGTTAAGAATGGCACGTTTAATCTAAATGCTGACATACTTGTGCAATTAAATTCTTTGCAATGTCATGACCATTCATGTGGCTCTGCTAATGAATATCTATATAGGTTCCACTCACATAAGCAAGCGTAGATTTGTGATGGTGAGCTAACGTCAATCAGTAGGGGCCACTGAATGGAAAATTAATTAATAACAGACAGAAGATAAGCAGCTGGGTAGAATGTGTACAAATACATGGCTTTAGGGAACAAAGACTGATCCTTATTTACTCTAATAGTAGGGCTACTGTAGCTCATCATTTCAAATATGGTTTCTACAGAAAAACAACATAATTAAAGTGTTTCTAATGGGCAAAGCGGCCATCAGAACTGGACCATGAAGTAGTTGGATAAGGTAGTGAGATGAAACATGTTTTCCAGTTCATGGAAGTCATTTACCTGAGAAAAATGTGGCCCCAGAATGCATTCTGGGAAGGAGGAGGGCTGGCGGGAGCATTGGGATGCTTTAACTAGTGTTCAGCTACAATGACCCTTCCTAAACAAATCCACCCCTGCATGAAAACGAATCTCACAGATGACAGTGGAGGCACAAAATGAGGAGAAAAAGATGCAAATTTTAGGTTTGAATCACAAAGAATTAGTATGTCTGATACTTCTGTGGGAAGTCTTATATATGATCAGGTCATATGGGGTGTGAGACATAACCAACTGGTATTATTTCATTGTTTGTCAAGAGTCTTAATTATGCTTCGATTTGTTTGTAGTTTACATTCATTTTATCCACCGTTTGGCTGCTAACTCCTCAATTAGTTGTCTCACATATCTGACTCAGAAAAACTCAATAAAAAAAAGTTCTACACCCGTAGTGACTCAGACAACTTTGAGTGACACACTACAATTCTTTGAACTGATTCAAATTGCAGCAAGAGGAACAGCGAGGCTCTGCTCATGTGAGAACTTGTGCGAGTGCTTGGAGACATTTTGGAAACTTTCTAATGACAGCTGCTGCCCAGTAGTGATGGGAATTCCGGCTCTATTTAGAGAGCCGGTTCTTTTGGCTCAGCTCACCAAAAAGAGCCAGCTCATTTGGCTCCCAAGTGGCTCCTCAGATTTTCTGTTGCGTAGAGTAAAATGATTTACTAATGTAAAAAAATGCAATATATCAAATATTTATCATTTCTATGGATTTAATAACTGAACACTTTAAGAAATCTCCACTTTCCAAATGCTGGCGCTCATTTTCTCACCATCTTCGTCGCACTCTCCTCTCTCTCGCTCGCCTTTTTCCTCCTCCTCATTCCCTCTCGTCTCCCTCCACCTGCATGTGCTCTGCTGTGTGCCTGAGTCTGATCCTCCCTCTTCCCCGCCCCCTACTGCTCTGTGTGTGGACAGTCTGGACATGCAGTTACACATGTTGACCAATCACCTGTAGCTTTCACCAAAGCAAGAAGGGAGGGGACGGCTCCCAATGACAAGCCGGCTCCCATCGTTCCCTTCAAAGAGCCGGCTCTTAGAGCCGGTTCGTTCGCGACCGACACATCACTACTGCCCAGTGAGATTCTGGTTCTACTTGAAGGACTTTGGTTCAAAAAGTCAAACCAGAGTACGTTCAAGTAAACAACAACAACGACAAGCTACATACTCAAACAACAGGCAGGAACTAAAAGTCAAAACACAAAGTCAGATTTGATAAAAACTGATTTAGGTAGGAGTATACCGTTCTTAGCTGTATCCTGTACACATGAATACACCGTAATCAAACACTTGCTCTCTCACCCACCCACCCACCCACCCACCCACCCACCCACCCACACACACACACACACACACACACACACACACACACACACACACACACACACACACACACACACACACACACACACACACACACACACACACACACACACACACACACACACACCAACAATTTCTGCTTTCCTTTCTGGACTGACAGCTCTCATCCATCATGCTTGCTGTTCGTTAGTGGGTGCATATGTTGAATGACTGCCATCGCACTCTCTCTGTCCAGCAGCTGCTGACACCTTGGTCACCAAATGTAATGTCCATTTTGGTTGTTTAATGCAACCGAATGGAGGAAAAATTGGCTAAAAAACTGATTTAGTTTCTCAGGCCAGCTGAAGGATCTGAATACAGAAACAAACAGAAGCTACTAGGTAATGCAGTGAGATCAGCACAGTTAGAGGAAAGGTTTTGTGTTTGTCCCTAAAACTGTTGGTCTCTCTGGTTTCCTTTACAAAAAGACTAACTGGTTTCTCCAGTTACGGTGTTTTTAAGTGATACCTTGAGTTTTACAGAAACACATCAATCATAAATGGATCCAGATTAAAAGCACAATCAGTACTGGTGGAACAATCAAACACAGGATCAACGTCCTCTTTGTCATTACCAAATATCTGCAAAAGCTAAGTGGCAACAGATGCTGACAAATTGACACAGCGCAACAGAATTAAACTTGATTCATTTGTTTCACCTTCAGCTGGTGCCAAGCCAAAAATAAGGCTGAATGCCAAATGAAAGTGCCTAAAAACAAACAAAAAGACAGAAACCAAGTTGTAAAAATTATTGTGTCTGAAATAAAACATATTTCATGACGTTGCTGACAGGGACAGGTTAATGATATTGTGCCCGTCGAGACAAATATAAGATTTATACATCTTGTTTACTGATGCATTTGGGGATAATTATACACTAGACAAATTATGTATTCAGATTATGAGCGATCGAGGCAAAAGTTCTATGTAAAAACATATTTCCCCATTCTAAGTGACATCACGGCGCTTATTGGACCGCCCCCTTTAATGCTTGGTAGAAAAACTATTCAGACACATTGAAACTCTATTGAAACTAGTCAAACCAAGCCAGTTTGTAGTTTTTTTTATCACTTTCCTTTAGTTGATTTTACAGCAAAATGGTAACAGTTTGCAACGTGGTTGGTTGCATTAATAAACAAGGGTGTAAACTCAACTTGTTTGTTTTTTTAACTCTTAAACCCGACGTACCCGGTACCAGACCCGGTATGCTCATTTAGCATTGTGAGCCTCACCATTATGAGATATCTCGTCTCATCCTGGTGTGTGAGCAGCATTTGATCTAAATGTCACCTTTAGTTCTGTTGGAACTAAAATAGTTGACACTACAGTTCCTGGGTCAGCCAGTCAGAAGCACTGCAAAAAAACGCAGACATATTTGGTTGTAAAATGATAGATCGCTCAGCCCTACGTGGCTAGTGTGTTTTTTGTCAATCTTCCACTTCTTTTTTTGTGTTTTCTTCACTAACAAATGTTGAGTCTTCAGGGGTGGAGGGGGTTGGTGCATAGCATTCAGAAGACAAGATTAAGTCAAATGGGCGTGCATAAAAAAATTACAAAGTGTTTCCTAACAGAAGTTTTCTACCAAGACCACCAAAAATGAGAAACAAAAGTTCCTCCTGCAAGACTATTATGAATACGAAGCAGACACAATAAATTATAAACAGTCTTTATTTATATAGTGCCTTCTAGAGTTCTACAGCCCCCCAAGATGCTTTACAACACAACCAGTCATTCACCCATTCACACATTTGCACACTGGTGGTGATGAACTACAATATAGGCACAGCTGCCTCCTGGGGAGAAATGACAGAAGTAAACATGTTTAATACAAACATTTATATAACTCTGCGACTGCTTTCTCTGGAGTAATATATATTTTCAGATAGTTTTCAGTTTGGATGTGCACATTTTTAAGCCTAAATTGCTTAAAAGAAAATTGGTTTCCAGTTAGTGACGCAAAGCCTCTTTACAGCAAAACGAGCTAGGAAATTGAAATAAATGCTGAAAATGCATGTTTGTTTTAACAACGATTGCAGAAGTGGACTTATTTATGAGCAACAGTGGCATCTTGTAATAGCTCGCTGCTCATGCAGGATTGTAGCACATACAGGTGCTGGCCAGTAAATTAGAATATCATCAAAAGGTTGAAAATATTTCAGTAATTCCATTCAAAACGTGAAACTTGTACATTATATTCATGCAATGCACACAGACCAATGTATTTCCGATGTTTATTACATTTAAATTTGATATTTATAGGTGACAACCAATGAAAACATCAAATCTGGTATCTCAGAAAATTAGAATATTCTAAAGGCCAATGAAAAAATGTTTGTTTCTCTAATGTTGGCCAACTGAAAAGAATGAACATGAAAAGAATGTGCATGTATAGCACTCAATACTTAGTCGGGGCTCCTTTTGCCTCAATAACTGCAGTAATGCGGCGTGGCATGGACTCGATCAGTCTGTGGCACTGCTCAGGTGTTATGAGAGCCCAGGCTGCTCTGATAGTCGTCTTCAGCTCCTCTGCATTGTTGGGTCTAGCGTATTGCATCCTCCGCTTCACAATACCCCATAGATTTTCTATGGGGTTAAGGTCAGGCGAGTTTGCTGGCCAATCAAGGACAGGGATACCATGGTCCTTGAACCAGGTGCTGGTGGTTTTGGCACTGTGTGCAGGTGCCAAGTCCTGTTGAAAGGTGAAGTCTGCATCCCCATAAAGTTGGTCAGCAGCAGGAAGCATGAAGTGCTCTAAAACTTCCTGGTAGACGGCTGCATTGACCCTGGACCTCAGGAAACAGAGTGGGCCAACACCGGCAGATGACATGGCACCCCACACCATCACTGACGGTGGAAACTTTACACTGGACCTCATGCAACGTGGATTCTGTGCTTCTCCGCTCTTCCTCCAGACTCTGGGTCCTTGATTTCCAAAGGAAATGCAGAACTTGCTCTCATCAGAAAACATAACTTTGGACCACTCAGCATCAGTCCAGTCCTTTTTGTCCTTGGCCCAGGCGAGACGCTTCTTGCGCTGTTTCATGTTCAAGAGTGGCTTGACACACGGAATGCGACACCTGAATCCCATGTCTTTCATGAGTCTCCTCGTGGTGGTTCTTGAAGCGCTGACTCCAGCTGCAGTCCACTCTTTGTGGATCTCCCCCACATTTTTGAATGGGTTTGTCGTCACAATTCTCTGCAGGGTGCGGTTATCCCTAGAGCTTGTACACTTTTTTCTACCACATTTTTTCCGTCCCTTCGCCTGTCTGTTAATGTGCTTGGACACAGAGCTCTGCGAACAGCCAGCTTCTTTAGCAATCACCTTTTGTGTCTTGCCCTCCTTGTGCAAGGTGTCAATGATTGTCTTTTGGACAGCTGTTAAGTCAGAAGTCTTCCCCATGATTGTGGTGCCTTCAAAACAAGACTGAGGGACCTTTTAAAGGCCTTTGCAGGTGTTTTGAGTAAATCAGCTGATTAGAGTGGCAGCAGGTGTCTTCTATATTCAGCCTTTTCAGAATATTCTAATTTTTTGAGATACCAAATTTGGAGTTTTCATTAGTTGTCCCTTATGAATATCAAATTTAAATGTAATGAACATTGGAAATACATTGGTCTGTGTGCATTGCATGAATATAATGTACATGTTTCACGTTTTGAATGGAATTACTGAAATATTTTCAACCTTTTGATGATATTCTAATTTACTGGCCAGCACCTGTACAACCCTGCAGGGCCCACAGATGCAGTATCCCACAAAAATGACCTCAATCATTCTAGAATAATTCATTCTTTTCAAATAAAACCTGTTAAAATATTGCTATTTATATCACGTACAAAAACATGTTGAAAAAAATCTGTTTACCAATGTTTTGCAGGATGAATAGGAATCTGAGGGATGCATGCAAAAGTCACACATTCATATCTGTGTTCAAAGTCAAGATTGATCATCCAAAGAGTTGTACAGAAAAAGGAAGGAGCTCTTCTGGTCCCTGAAAGGGGCACACATGCCTCTGACAAATAAAATGAACACCTTCCTTTAATCAAAGCAAAGAACTATTTCTGACAGAACTCTGATGGTTTTAGAAGTGCAACAGCATGAAGCACTCAGTGAGCTGAGAAGTATTGTTTTTCTTCTCTTTTGCGCTTTACATTGCCCTTCGCAACACCATAATGCCCTGTGAGTACCACTCAGCAGAACACTCATCTCTAATGCAGTGCTCCTTTGCAGGTTGCCACAGTGATTTTATTTCTTGCAGGAGCGGGAGACACAAGAGTTTGTGCCTGGCTGAGGAATCGCTGTTGGTCCTCAAATCTCACTCTTAAGAAAGTATTCTTTGTTTTTTAAAAGAGCTCATGATTACTAGAGTTATAACAAGAAAGTGTGGGTGATAACAACATACTGTAGCAATAAATGTATATCCGTTAAAGTACTGGTTGTTTTAAGAATCACATTTTAAACAAGCATGAACTTAGGCTTTGTGTGTAATGTGTCTTTGTTTAAGAAAGCAATGGAGACTCACATCCACCACAGGCTGCAGGAATTCTGTTAGCTCTCCTCTGGCATCCAGGGAAACAGCGACGGATGCAAATGGACGACTGGCCATCTGCTGACGCTCTCTCATCAGCTGCTGTAATAATAAACATGGATGACAAATGAACAAAACAGGAAACACTCTATTAGCATAGCAAAGCATAGTTTATTTATATAGCACATTTAAAATGCAGCATGGGAGCTGCCCAAAGTGCTGCACAGGCTAAAACAAAACACAACCATTCAACAGAATTAAAACAGAGGATAAAAACCCCAATCAATAGCAGATCAAACATGATAAATACTAAGAACACATTAAAACAATCATACAATAAAACACTAAAACGAGTCACTGTCTAAAAGCCAAAGCGTAAAAGTGGGTCTTTAAACGAGATTTAAAAACCGCCAGAGATGGAGCCTGCCGAACTCCAATGGGCAATGAGTTCCATAGCTTTGGGGCAGCATGGACAAATGCTCGTTCACCCCGCGATTTAAATCGCATACGCAGTGTGCACAGCAGCAAAAGGTCAGCCGACCTCAACGTGCGCGTGGGCACATATGGAGTGAGCAGGTCTGAGAGATAGGGAGGTGCCAGGTCATTGAGAGCTTTAAATACAAAGGTCAGTAACTTAAACTGCACTCTGAAAATGACAGGGACAACACACGATCATGTTGTCCAGTAGGATACAAAACCCAAAAGAAAAGCAGCTTATCTCTAAAAGACATAAGGTTTGCTTTGGTTCTTTTAGATGGTTTACAATAACCAATAACTTCCCCCACTTTTTCACCCACACCTGCGGTGTGCCAAGGTTTTTCCACAAACCTCATTTACAGAATTCCTCTTGTTCAAGACTGGGCAGAAAACTCTTTTTCCTCGTTTTTCACTAATCAATATTGTAAAACAACTAGTGCCACACTTTCATCAGAAACGCACAGTCTGATCAATATCTACACAGGTCACCGTTTTAGCGCCAAGGACATCGCTGATTGTTATTGGATTTGTGATGAGCTCAAGTGTGTCGCATTAAGATCTAATTGTATTTCAGATTACCAAGTGGTTCAAATGGTTTTGATAGGTGTACTATCAATGATAATAAAATGCCCTTCTTCTCTACTTTTCTCAACTTGAACCTGAGTAAGTCCAAAAAAAACTATTTTATATTTCTGGTTTCTGGAATTTTCAACTTCATGTTTGTGTGCTTTGCATAACTCCGTTTCCTGATGTAAAACTCAGACAGTTCAGCTGTTATTTTTACAAACAAACCACCAGTAATGTCTCAAGTCTAATTTATACTTCCCCGTCTGCGTCGTGAAAGAGACACGCAACAGCATTAGGCGTCGGTGCTAGAGCTCTCCGACGGGCTCACAGAGGGTGACGGAGACATGCCCCAATTTTAAACTATCCGTCAAAAGAGATGGAGATTGCAAACTTGTGATTGGTCAGGACACCGCTTCCTGTACATTTATCAACAGCACCATCAAAAAATAAAAAGATATTTAACGGCAGAAGAGTGCATAGCTGAAAAAAGGTATCAAAATATGAACGTTTATTCACCCGTGACTGGAGTACAAACATATGCAGCAAGTTTTATTTGTGGATGGAAAAGACGAGAAACGTGGGTTTAGAGGTGAAGATTGTATGAGGAGGTGTAGAGGAATGAGGGACAAATTTCTCCATGTTGAGAAGTCTCTGAAATACATTAAAACAATGTAAACACAATAGTATATACACTATCGTGGATCGGATATGTGACTGTAATGGTGGCAGGAAATCTCAGAATAGCACTACGCCCTCTGTTCAGCTGGGGGGGAATCTCCCGGAGAGAAAAACGTCTCTGTCAATGTGTGTGCATCCTTCCCTCAGGGAGCTGACGGAGTAGTATAAGTTAGACTTTAGTCTAAAATCATTACTATAACTTAAACCAAACTTGAGCACTTTTTCAAAAGTACTAAAACTTACCTGTACAGTTGTAAAATATAGTCTAGCATTTTACATTTTTATCCTTATTGTAGAAATACATTTCTCTGATTGCTTAACTACAGTCAACTTGTTAAAGGCTATCTATCCCTTGATAAGGAACTGTTGAATAATAAATCAGTGAAAGGTTGTGTTTGAGAACATTTCTTGAGACATTCCTTTACACGAGTGTTCCTCAACCCTGGTCCTTAGTGCCCCCCTGTCTTGCATGTTTTCCATGTCTCTGCTACAGAGACATATTTGCATTGCCTGCTTAGGTTGACATCAAGTGCTGCAGAAGTCTGTTAATCACTCATTACCGTATTTTCTGGACTATAAGGCACTACTTTTTTCCCACGCTTTGAACCATGCGGCTTATAATGAGGTGCGGCTTTACTGAAGATTTTCCTTCACCTGCCAGGGGCACTTTAGCAGAAAGTGAAACAGGTGGAAGTCAAAAGTGGAAATCGAAGAAAGTGCTCATTTTAATTTAGCACATGCAAGCAGCCGGCACGACGAAGAATTTTTTTCAAATCCATACCCCCCTCATCATGGTAACTACACGTATGAGTTCATATGTTGCCGCATTTAAATTGAAGGCCATCGATCGGGAAGTAAAGGAGGGAAACGGTGCTGCCGCACGTAAGCTTGGCATGAACAGCAACACGGCCAGCGACACTGACATCGCCACAGAAAAGGTATGTGACGAAGCTCTTCTGAGGCTGTTCAACTCCGACACTGAAGAAGAGGACTTAAATGGCTTTAGTGCGCAAGATGAAGATGAGAGCGAATGACTTTTTCTGGTAGGCAAGTCTGTTTTATTTACTAACCAGGCATGTTTTGTGTGCAGTTTTTATTTTCTAATCATCCAGTGCTGTTCTTTTCTTCTAAACATGCATGCAAATTACCGGTAATAATGTGTCAGTTCTGTTTTTATTTTATAACCATCCAGAAATATGAATGCATTATGAATGCTGAAGTGCTGTTTTCTTTTCTAAACTTGCAGACACATTCACCCGTGTTTAAAATTCGTGTTATTGAATCAAAACAACAATGAAAAACCTCCGTGTAGCGTCTTTCTGTCTAATTATCTTATGTTATGGCAATACATGCGCTGTGCGCCGGAGACCTGCATGTGGCTGCTGCGCCGCGGATTGTATTTGAGTGCGGCATGTGTGTGTAGAAAACCTTTTTTTCTGCTGGTGCGGCTTATATTGAGGTGCGCTCTATAGTCCGGAAATTACGGTAATTTAAGTCAGGTGTGTGGCAGCAGAGAAACAATGCTGTTGGAAATGGCAAGAGAAAAGATGCAGGACAGGGGGGCGCTGAGGACCAGGGTTGAGAAACACTGATTTACACAAATGTGTCCTTGACGTTGAAATGAACCCTAGAAGTCTCTTGCCTACACCCTCACCCCCATTCACACTGAAATAATTAGGTATTCATTAGTCTTGACAAAATTTGTATGAGGTCTGGAGGGGTTGACATTGCAGAAATGAAAAAGTAAGAAGAAGACAATTTGAATCAGTGTCTCTGTCCTTAACAAGGACACACTCATTGTGACAGGTTTATTTAAAGACTAGGTCAGGATACAGTAATCAGTCACTGTTATATGGGCATAAAAAGGCCCTAATCATCTGATATTTGGGTATTTAGACTTATATTAAAACTTCTCACCAGCAATCCAAACAATCACAATGTCTAAAACATTTGATCTTTATGTGTCTATGTCTTCTGCCATAAAATCCCAACATTTAAAAGATTCATTTGATCTGCTTTATATGACTGGTCTCTCTTTCCCCAGACATAGATGACTAACCTGACGCACCAGATGGTTTGACAAACAGAACCATCTGGAATGTCGCCCGTGGAAACTGTTTGGTAAATGTCACACAGATTCAAATAAATATTTGGCAGGTGAATGGATAAACTATCTGTCTATCACCATTTATCAACGGTAGGGTCAGCCAATCAGATCAATGGAGTAGTGCCAACCACAGCTGGCTGACTATCTCTGGAGGAAGACAACACATTTTCTAGAGGCAAAAGCCTTCCATATTGTTTTCTTTTTTTTTTTTTTTTTGTAACCCATCGTTTAGATAAACTCTGTTCATCTATCCTAAGAGCTGTCAGTGGTGATGGCTACTATTACACCTACGGCCCCTACACAATGGATGAAGACCCTGCTACAACATAAAAATCATCTTGAAAGTGGATGATCTTTGCACAGAAGCATATGGGTCCTGACAAAAATGGCGGCACAATATCTCTGACTTGGAACACCAGAGGCGTATGGTCATTGAAATGTGAAGCTGAATTGGCCTATACTGCCCAGCCCCCAAAAAGCTGCCACCAAAAATAAAGATCACACACTCTAATACTATGTTGGACAGCCTTTAGCTTTAATTACAACACACAATTGCTTTGTTTTTTTTTTTTTGTTTTTTTTTTGAGGAGCTTCTGCAACATCTCAAGATTTATTACCATCTGGTGCTGCATTAATTTTCACCAAGATCTTACATTGATGATGGTAGATTCTGATCGCTTCACAAAGCCTTCTCCAGCACATCCCAAAGATTTTCCATGGGGTTAAGGTCTGGACTCTGTGGTGGCCAATCCATGTGTGAAAATGATGTCTGATGCTCCTGAACCACTCTGCCACTATCTGAGCCTGATAAATCCTGATAGTCATCTTGGAATATGCCTGTGCCATCAGGGAAGTTGGAATAACCTGGTCATTCAGTATATTCAGGTAGTCAGCTGACCTCATTCTTGGAGAACATCCTGTTGCTGAACCTAGACCTGACCAAGTGCAGCAACCCCCAGATCATAGCACTGCTGCCAGAGGCATGTACAGTAGGCACTAGACATGATGGGTGCATCACTTCATCTGCCTCTCTTCTTACCCTGATGCACCCATCACTCTGGAACAGGGTCCATCTGGACTCATCAGACCAGTTTATAATAATCAGTTGGAAAGTTATGATAAATGACCTGCACTTGTATAGCGCCTTTCAGAGTCAGAGGACTCCAAAGCGCTTCACACTACAGTGTATCATTCATCCATTCATACACACTGATTGTGAAAAGCTACAATGTAGCCACAGCTGCCTTGGGGAACACTGACTGAGGCGAGGCTG